AAAAAAAAAAAAACGTATCAGATCAAAATTCCAATTAAATTATGTGGGCATACAGTATGTTAGACAACTAGTCAATTATAGAACAAAACCATGCTCCAAAAAAGCATCGGAAGTGCGCATCTCCTCATATTAAACGGCAGAACTCGAGCAAAAGTGCGAATTGTGGTTTTAAGTCCTCGGAGTGAAAGTTGCACAGTCACCATCACCAATAACAAAAACCACATTGTGCATTAACCACGAAAAAAAATCCTAAACTCCTAATCACTGTCAGAACCAACAACAAAATGAACAGGAGACAGGTAAGCCATAACCTAGACAAAACCGAACATCCTAACAGCAAACTCGCAGATCCTTTACCCACACACATGAACAAAGCTCTCTAAATCCCAACAGACAACTCGAACCCACCACATTTCGAATCATATCAAGAGCAAAAAAATGGAATCTTTTCTTTATCAAAATTCACCTCGTGCTCGCGAACTAGAGTCTGCCGATCCCAAACAACCAAACTGGCGCCGACAAACACTATAAAAAGCAAAGCCAATCGCTTGGGTCTCTTCAAATAATACGCTGGATTTACGTATCTCCACCTGCTCGACGACGATCTACTCCTCGCCATTTTTTCCCCAGCGGATTAAACCGTCGAAAGGTTCAGCAGCTGCAAATAACTCGAGATTTACATACAGTTAATCAACTCTCCGATCGGAAAAAGGATCCCTGAGCGATCTAACGATCTTTTCTAAATCTCTGTGTGAGATATTCTTTGGTTGACGATGAATTTTTCCCTCGCTGACTAGAAACACCGAGTGGAACTGTGTCTTTGAAGGTGCCGTGGTGTCGGGAATTTTAAGGACGCAAAGTGAAATTAATGAACTGTTTGAGGTGTATTTTGTAATTTCAATTTTCCTTTTTTCTTTTTTTTCGGCGCAATTTGTGTGTTAGATAGTGCGAATGGGAAGCTGCCACGTTGGAATATTTGACAGATAAGGAGGTAGAGTTGTAAACGAATCGAACATTCGCGAATAAAAGCTTCGAGCTCGTTCGTCTTCGACAAAAGCTCGTTCGTTTGTTAATCGAGCCGAGTTCGAACAGAAAATTAGACTCGTTTAATAATCGAACGAACACGAGCTCGTTCGTGAACGTTTGATTATGTTCGCGAACATTAATTTAATATAATTTGATTTTATTTTTATATATTTACATAATATATTTAATAAGAAAATCTAAAATTTAATATTATTTTATTTATTTTTTATATATCAACATAATATTTTGAATAAAAAATCTGAAATATAACTTTTATTTTATTCTTTTATTTTTTAGTTCAAAAGAACAAATTTTGAGTTAATCAAACATATTTAAAAAGTTTATGTATTATATTATTCAACACGAACAAACTCGAACTTTGACGATTTTTTGCTCGAAAAATAAAGGAACACAAACATAGTTCGAACTTAAATCAACACGAGCTCGAACAGCCCAAACTCGATTCGGTTCGTTTACAAAATTGGTCTACATTTTTATGTTATTATTGTTAGACTGGTCAGATTTGATGGAATTTAAGTTGTTTGTTAACAGTATGGATTAGTTTATAGTCTATTTAATATTTATTTAAGCACCTTAAAAGTTTCTATATTTATTGCTCACCTATCTATCTCCATGAGAGACAATTAATGGCAA